AATATATCAAATATAATTCAAAAGATTTAATATTTTTACAGTAGTTTTTAGTAGTAAACTTTAAATTTTATTATTAATGCAGAACACGTAAACAATAAAGTTATGCACAAATAACATTTAATTGATATTTTTTGTTTTATTTAATTAAAGTAAAATTGACTATTTAATTGTAAAAAAGAAAATTTTAGCATTATTTTGCTATGGCAACGAATATTTATATTTTGTTTGAATACATTGTATTCTATTCAAGCATTATTTGTCAGTTTATTGTCAAACTAGCTGTTACCCGCAACTTCGTCCGCGGAGGTTTGCAAGCAAACCCCATTTACATTCAATATTTCAATAACCACAGTAATTGTCATATAACACCTACCGCTGAAGAGAATTGCCGAGAATCAAACGAACTATCTTCAATTTGATCAATTTTCTGGAACGTTTACAATCGTTCTATAATCGAACCAATATGCAATAACTAATTCAAATTTAAAACGGTGGAACATTTTTAAAATCGAAATAGATAAAAATATTTATAACAATGTCTGAAATGTTATCAATTTAATACACAGTGAAGACTAAACGTAGTTGAAAACAAAAAATCGTATCTAAAATAGTACAGTAGAAACCGTTTTTCCGGTTAAGCCTTAGTGCTCTACCTCTTCCCCCCGCGTGGGAACTTCGAAAAATCCCTTCTTAATGTGAATTCCCATGGCATACCCTACTAAAACGCATGTAAAAAGAAAAAAATCGCATCTAAAATAGTACAGTAGAAGCCATTCTTCCGATTAAGACTTAATCCTCTTCCTCTCCCTCCCGCAAGGGAATTTCGTAAAATCTCTTCTTAGTGTGAGTTTCCATGACGTACCCTAACTGTGTACCAAATTTCACCTCTTTAGGTTAAGCGATTTGCTCTGGGCGATGATGAATCAGTGAGTGAACGAGTGAGTCATTCAGTCAGTCAGGACAAGCAATTTTATATATTTAGATAATTGAAAATTTTATTTTTGGAATTTTTTGAAAGTTATTTATAAATTAAGAATATATCTACATATCTATTACTTATTATAAAATAAGCATTACATTGACACTTATTAATAATACTATTGAATTTTATAACCAATCGTGCTTTAAAAAAATAATTATAAATTTGTTATATTATATTATTATATTCTTTATTATACTTTAAATTTTCTTTGATGTTATTGCATCACTTTACGAAGTGCCTATATATGTAATTGCATCAGTTTTAGCATCTATTTAATTAGTTTCAATCATGACATCAAATGATATGGATAATTGTTTCTTTTAAACTATTTGATAAAAACGTTACATAAAGTTGGGGTTGCGTAATCATCCGAAATTATCATTATATTTTTGACTGGAAATCACTGGATTTATGCAATTTTAGTTTAATTAATGCCGTATAAAACTGACTGCTCGTACAAGTTTACGACTCAAAAAACCCCAAAATGGCAGCTCAAAAAGTAGGTCATGCGTGTCCTGACCTTCTTATATAGACCTTGAATGACACTAGTAGCTCGGATCGCCCCATAGTGGACGTTCTAGCAACAGCGGTGTCATTTCGTGGTATAAATAATAAATTTATATTACAAATAAAAATAATATACTGAATTTCTCATTGCGCAGTCAAAAACGCAAAAAATCACATCTAAATGAGTTCAGTAGAAGCCAAGTTCTTCAGGGTAATCATTAACCCTCTCTCTCGTGGGAGAAATTTTAAAAAGTTCCTTCTTAATGTGCATTCTAATGGCATACCCTACAAAAACGCAGTCAAAACGCAAAAAAACCGCATTTATTGTTATTTTAATATTGTTACGCAAAAAAACCGAATTTATTGTTAATTAAAATAATAGCTAGGGGCGCCCCTAGTGGCAATCTAGGCATACCGTTACAGATATACGCTGCCACTGACGTCATAACGTACATCGATCATTATCTAATTTAAATAAAATTTTACTCTTTACCCAAATAATTTTTAAAAAAAGCATTACCCGATTTATTATAACTTTCTTGCGTATATTAAATAAATTTATATCGAACGTATTAAATAATTCATCTTACATATAAAAAAATTAAATAATGTACAAAATTAAATCGTTTAAACGAACGAATTAAAAAAAAATTTAAAAAAATAAAATAAAATTTTACATATTAGATTTATCAAAAATTTTAAAAGTTTTAAAAAATGCTTAATAACGAATTAAAAAGATTATATAGGCGACATAAAATTAAGTGCGGTCCTGTCTTTTCGTAGATGGATTTCCGAAGCGAAGGGTAGTAGGGGGTAGATGATAGTCCAGAAAATCGTTATTTATATGCGCACGTTTATTTTCAATGCGAATTTTTATAGAAATAAGTTAAAAGAAGTGTTCTAGACGAAGCGGCTTTAATTACTTATTCGTATTTTCTATAAATTGAAGAAATTACTCGAGAAAGTCGGACAGGTAAGGCCTAAGGCCGGCATTTCGTGTTATATCTGTCAATCTTTGTTTATTTTTCCGGTTTGTAGCTTTAATCTTTGTTTATTTAAAACAAATTTCACTTTCTCTTCGTAAATATTTATAAATAACGCTATAAATACACATTTAAAGTGCTTTTTTCCTTCGTCCACGTGCATTGATATTTATATTGAATAATTGAAGCCAGTAATTGCAGATTTAATTATATTCATGGTGTGCGCACAGGAAATATATATATAAGTAAATAAGATTATTTATCGTTTAAATGTTAATTGCCTAGGGCATGATATAGTAGAACTCTTAAGTTCTTACTATAATATCCTTCGAGTTTATGGCCATTGTGAATTTTTGGGACCGGATCCTGTGTTGAATTTGTATTGCATCGGTACCGGAGCTTAGGTCGCTTTTTGGCATTGCCCGGGTTCGGGGACGAGAACCCAATTAACATCAGAGCCCATTAAATGAAGCATTGTTGATGCTGAGCCACCCACTGCTACTTACCCGAGGCTTATGCAACCCGGAAAATGCTTATGTGACTATGCCCGTCGGTGGTTGAGCGGATAAAACTGTCAAACACTGGTAGTTGGTCGTGGGTTTGAGCCTCGCTGACGGGCTGTCCACTGAGAGTTTTCCGGGTTTTCATCCTGTTTGTAACACCTAAATAGGGGCCAGTTTCCCATAAAAAACCTCCTGGGAAGCATTCTCCCGTTGGCAGAATTGCTTGTGTATTGCATTGCCGTAAATGAATAAAACCAAGCCTTATGTAATTTTTGTGGTGGAGCTTTCTGTGTATCCCCAGGTGCACTCGGGCAGTTGATTTTACCCATGGTAACTACATGTTGTAGATACAATTTGGCTGTCTCGGGAGGGAAATATTGTGTATGCATTTCGATGCAAAGTCGGCGAGAGATCTGACCAACTGGTCCATCCCAAAATTTCTATTAGAACTGCATAAAGTGATATGCTAAAATCCAAAATTAAAATTGGAAAAGATAACTCGTAAAATGAAAACCATTTACACTTTTCCTGCAAAAGGGATTTAAGGAAGAAATGTTTTTGGTTTATTTTATAAACCTGTCTTGGGTTTCAAACTACAAAATTCCGAAATAATTTTGGAATTTTGCCGGAAAAGTGTGAGTGGTTTTCATTTTTCAAATAAACTGATATATTTATGTTGACTATTTCTGCATGTTATTATGTAGTTAAATTGCATTTTCAAGAATGCAATCTCAATTTATGACATGTAAGCTGTGGAAAACACGACAGTTCACTTTATGACACTTTTAAATCATGATCTACTGTGTTATGAATGTAAAGCTGCCAGAGCCTGATGATGATCTACATTAAATTTATATACATAACTGTTTTGAGAAATAGTGTGCAGATTAAAAATAATTAAATTATATGTTTATATTCTGACTCACGATTTAGAAATTATCATAATTACTTCTATTCAAATCTGATTGTTAAAAATAAAAAAAACTACAATAAAACAAAAAAAAATGGTTGAATTACAGAATTCATTAGTTATTTTAGTTAGTAGAAATGCATTTAAAACTGTTTAAAATTTCCATTCAATTAAAATTAAAATACAAAGGGGACAGTTGTTTTGTTTCTGATCAATACATTGCCGTAATTATTAATTATAGTACCGGTAGTTGAAATCTTTGCTTGTTGTTAGAATGTGCTCCGATAGCATAATTTAATTAATTTTTGTTAAATTCTGTAGCTGTTTTTAGAATGCAGCCGACGATCAATCTGGTGGTTCAAAAATATACTGTATTTGNATTGCCGTAATTATTAATTATAGTACCGGTAGTTGAAATCTTTGCTTGTTGTTAGAATGTGCTCCGATAGCATAATTTAATTAATTTTTGTTAAATTCTGTAGCTGTTTTTAGAATGCAGCCGACGATCAATCTGGTGGTTCAAAAATATACTGTATTTGCTAAGTAAAAATAACAACTTATAATTTAGTGTTTTTTTAATAGTGTCGTTGTTTTTGAATTTAAAATGTGATTTAACTCTTCATTGGGAGATTTAAGAATTAAATTATTGGGTTTAGATATACGTGTGTATATTCTAAAATTAGGGATTGCAATGTATTGAAGACTGGTTATTAAATTGTTGATATTTTTTGGATCGTGTGCTACAGACTTTTTTTAATCTGTCAAAAATTATTTAACTCCCAGAAGTATGTACATTTTAATTTCCATTTTAATACATTTCTGAAAATCAACGGTAATTAGTGATATGAAAAGAAAGGTCACGAAGTAGGAGAATTATCATAAAATAAGTTCTTGTGTTATGAATGACTGCTATAATGCAAGATAGGAGGTAAATGACCCTATTAGGAGCATATAAAGTATACAATACTGAAAATAAAACAGGAGTTGGAGTAATATTTCTACCTCTTCTGACTCCAACTTCACAGACCTGGATTACCCGAGTAAATACAGTATATACAGTAATTGTAATTTACAAATGTATAATAAAAAATCATTTTTGTTTAATAACAAAATCACAATAAAATTTATTTGTTTTAACTATGTTTATATGATGAAAGTTAACTGCAGTAAGATTTAATTCCAATTAAGTTTACCAGGAATAAAAAGAGTAGAAGAAAATGGTCAAGATTTGGGATTGCAATTGCTGGATCCAGCGCTGCGGATCCGCAAATACTCAATTAACTTTCTAAATAATGGTGCAAAAGTCTACGTTGTCAGCATTGCCGCTTTGCTAAGTGCGCTATCGCTCGGCGGCGAGAGCGACGTTGCCATTCAGTGCAGCACGTGCTACATTCCCTCTCTACACCGCACCACCCGTCCTTTTACCTCTGCTGATCTAATTGACAGTTGACTTTTCGCTCTCGCTAAATAAAGTGTCTTCGCGCTAAATAAAATAAGTAACATCCTCTCCTAGTCCTGGTGCATAATTCTAATTTACGGTCGGTTGTGACGTCAATGAATCACGTGACGGATCGCCGCTTCAGCTGCGAGACACCGGCACTTTTTCGACTTTTTTTCCTGAATAAACTCGGTGCGCAATAAAAACGTTATTTATTTCATTTTTCGCAGCTCGAAGAAATTAGAGAATTTGAATTTTTTAAAATTTTTTGAAAAATTTCGGAAAAATTGCGACTAAAAAAATGCCAGGGGGCGTCTGTGACACGCTACATGATCTTAAATGAAAATTGAATTATTTACCACAAAAATGGCTCTAACGATTTGGATCAAACTTGGTTAGTTTAGTGAATCGCGTAAATACATATATAGTGGAACCAGCAGCAATGGCAGAGGAGATTATGGAGGTGGAAAGCGATGATCCAGATAACCCGTATTCCCTGAATTTCACCTTGGAACAAGAATTGGAGATCCAACTAAAGCGTGAGAAAGAAAACTTCATGAAACGGAAAGAAACTAGTACTGAGAAGGATTATGATAAGTTATTAAAAAAGGAAATGGCTGTTTATGAAAATGAGGGAGTCAGAGGTGAAAACTTATCTTTGATTTATAATTATTTGATGACCCTGAAACCAACTAGCGTAGAGGCTGAAAGGGCCTTCTCTGCAGCGGGATATATATGCAGTGCATTAAGAAGTAGGTTGGGAGACAACACCATTAATACTATTTGTTTTTTGAGATCCTACTTCCAGAAAAGTCAAAAAAATAACATGATAACATGTTAAATGACAAAGAAATATTTGATAACAAAAACATATTTGATGATAAAAAAAAAATATGAAATAAAAAAATAACACGAAAAAATAAGTGATTGATTTAATTTTATTTAATCCTTTAAAATACTTTATTCAAGACAAGACTGATATTTTATAACTTCTTCTCTAATTCTATTAAGTAAGAGTATTTAACTTTTATTCTATAAGTGGTTAAATTACTTATAAATAACTACAGACTGATATGTAGAGCCTATATAAGAAAACTAGTAAGACTGATAGCCACTTAGCCACTGATTATCCATCCTTACATTATTATAATATAATATATTAAAGTAAATTAATTAGTAGAATTACCTTTGCTATTATTTAACTTATTACATTATAATTATAATTTAACTAAACATTTATAGTTAATTATCTCTATCTCAAGTGTTAAACTGAACCAAAGTTAAGTTTACTACCTAAATGTAGTGTTTTACTGATTTAAAGTGAACAGTCTAAATAATAAAAGGTTTTTAAGTATTTAAAAAAATGTTTTATTTCTTTAAAATAACCATAAAATGCTAAATAGATAGATAGATAACACTTTATTGCACCAAAAATACATCTGCGCTGCATCCAGCTGGATTGATGTTGGTCCAGCAAAAATCCAGCTGCATTGAAAACACTGCTGGATTGCAATCCCTAGTCAAGATGGTGTTTGTAGAGTTGGTTATTGGTTCAGTTTGACAGTTTTTTTTTTTCACTCATTTTTTATGTATAGTGAATATTAAATACAATTGAGTTACTTTGAATGATACGACAAAACAAATATTGCAGAAATAGCGTTAAAATAACTGGCTTGTTAGAATAGTGATTAGAATTAGCGAACCAGTTCTGTTCAAGTGAGAAATGTTTGAAAGCTTAATTGAGGTTAATTTTTATCTTATATTATGGGTCAATGTCAGTCCCCTTGAAAACTCTGCATTTGATAAATATAATTTTGCTAAAGCATTGATAAAATATATTTTTATCACGTATTATTATTATAAAGCTATATTTTATATCAAGATTCTTGATCGGGCTACTTTACCGCTACCATTAATAATTAAAGTTAGAGTAATTTTATTATTAACTAGCTGCAAGGACTCGCTTCGCTGAGTTTTTATTTGTTCGTACATTTGTATGTAATATAGTTTTTTTATATATAAAAGACTGTGTTTCTAAGTAATCTAGCTGTAAGGACCCGTTTCGCTGCGCAAAAAGTAACGATAGTAAAGATTAAGATTATTACATCATAGCCAATCTTACCCGTTTTCACATAATGC